CAAACAGACTCCCTGCTGAGTGTGGAGTCTAACTCGGAACTCATCCCAAAACCCTGAGATCATGACCCCAGCTGAAATCATGAGTCAGTTGCTTAACCCACTGAGCCACCCGCATGCCCCTTGCTTGCCTGTTTTTGCCTCTGGACTTGTGTCTGCCACAATGCGTTGTCTAGAATGGCTAGAAGCACCTTATGACCTCCAGAGAAACCAGCCTGAGTGTGAGGCTGACATGAGGCCAGCTGAGTGGGCAGATGGGGGCACTCAGGTCCTTGTGGATGTTGCTGAGGTGATGAGTGTCCCTCACGTGGTATCATCAGTTCTCTTGGTGTTCAAGCCAGCATTTTCCCAGCTGTAGATCAGAACCCATCAGAGGGCCATGAAATCAACGGGTGCATCACGACCAACAATAGAAACAAAACAAAACAATGAGTTAGATGAAGGAAGAGGAGAATCGAAGATATCAGGACACATCACGACCCCTAGTGCTTTGTGAAACTTTTGTCTGGTGGTACGGCCGAGCACGCACAGAGCCAGAATGGAAAGGGTATTTCTCACTGTGGGCTGTGGTTAAACAGTTTTAAAGCCATGGACCAAAGCCAGGTTGAGTGGAGGTATTTTCCGTAATTTGTAGTCAAAATTATCCCCGACACCCTCTTTTTCCATCCCCCACTGAATGACATGAACTCTTTTCTTCCCATCCTTCCCAGCTAGCCATGTGGCCTTCATTTCTGCCTTAAGTCTTGGTTTGTGTTCTTGCCCTCCACCTGCAAAGCCCTTTGGCCTCTCTCCCCTCTCTCCCTACCTGCCCTGTCTGATCTGATCCTTCAAGTCCTGGCTCGAGACCCACCAAGTCTGTGCCTCCTGCGATGCCCCACCCCAGGTATTACCTGCTCGGGGACGTGTGGGCCATGCAGCCCCACTCCCTGGATTCAAATTCCAATTCAGCCGCGTATTGACGTTGTGAACTTGGGTGAGTTAATGAACCTATCTGAGCCTCGGCTGAGTCATCTGTGAAATGGGGATCCTTACACTATTAGTCTTGTAGGGTGGTAATGACGACTCAATGAATAAATTCAACATGAATTTGATGACCTTGGGTCTCACTCTTCCTGGACTCTGAACTTCCTTCTAGGTTCCTGGCTAGCCCGGTTCTCAGCCTGTCTACCCCATGCTCTCCCAGCTGGCTGCTCTCATGCCCAGTAGCTGTGTACATTCCTGGGTGGCACTCTGCTCAGAGCTGCCACTTCCAATCTCAGCCTCAGCCCAGGTGCCTTCTTGCCAGTCTGGGTGGGAACCCTGGAGGTGGCTTTCATGGGTTGATTTGATGTACAACTCCTCTATTCAGTCACTAAGGGAGAAACGGCTTAAGAGCACTCGAGTATCATTTCATCGCTAGACGGGGCACGAGGGATCCCTTCGTCTGCCTAAGGTTTGAGAAGTGTGGCGATCATACTACCGGTGGTAGGAAAATAATAACGGGACCTCTGAGCCGCCACCAAGCCTGGCCCTGACCTGCCAGCCCAGGCTGGAGACTCTGTACAGAGTCCCCTCCCTGAAGCCTGCCACATCCTGGCAAAGGAGGGACCATTGTCCTTGCTTTACAGAGAGAACCAGAGTCACTTTCCCAAGTTCACACAGCCAAGAAGAGGCTGGGGATGGAGAGGAGGTGGGGGGAGCTGGGAGGAAGCTCAAGTTTGACTTTTCCCCAAAGCTTGCCCCACCCCCTTCCTTGTGCACTGGCCTAAATCCTCTTGCTAGCAGGGAGCCCGCCCTGCTACCCCGTGCCTCCTCACCGGCTCTCAGCCTGGCCTGGGCTGTCCCTCCCCAGGCCAGCTGGGTTTGGCTCTAGGAAATGTGATTAAAGTTAGTCTCTCCAGAGAGGGTCTGTTCGAAAGAATCAAAGGCTCGAAGCAAGCAGAATGTTCATAATGTTGGAATAAACCCCTGTGCTTGGACGGCTGCGGAAATATTAGACCTCCCAGCAACACCTGCCGGGTTGTCAATTCAGAAACGGCGAAGGGGAAGAAGAGAATAAAAGCAAAGCCCTGGCTCCGGCAAATGCTAGCATTCCGACAGCAGCTAGGTCCCCGGAATCCTTACAGTGTGAATTCAGAAGGAAGAAAATATCTATCTGGGCGAGCAGGCGGTTCTCCGTCTCACTTTTAATTGCACCTGGAAAGGGGCTTAATATCTCAGCCAATTTCTGCATCATCTTTTGCAAATCGTGGGCTGCTCAGGTCCCCGGGGGGTTTGTGTAATAAAACGGGATGGTTAAAGGGCATGTTTCTGCATTAACGAATCTTTCTGCACTGGCTGGGCCCGCGCATTATGTAAATGTTTACTGTAATTAAGAGATGAAGTTGTCACGGTGTAGTATTTTGGTTGCTGGTGTAGAGTTCCTGCCGTGCCCCAGCCGTGAATAGTCACCCGAGAAGGAGGAGGACCAGAGGCAGCAGAGAGAGGAAAAGGTAGAAACGCATGCCTTGTACTTGGCTAACCCCAGGAAGATCGTGTGGTTATGACGTGCCCTTCAGCCCCAGGTACAAGGAAGAGCCACGCTTAAGCCATACAGCCTTGAGCATGAAGTAGGATTTTTCCTGCCTGATCCCAAAGATGAGAGGATATGTGGAACCTCATGGCCTCTACTTGTATGTGATTGTGTTCCGAGAGGAGAGTGGTAGAGAATTCCAGTGTTAAAATAAGGAAGTATAATTTTTGTACAGTGAAACACACATTTAAAAAAAACACAGCTTTTTTGAGGTCTAATTGACATCCGATAAATTGCATGTATTTAAATGATACAATCTGATCGGTTTTGACATATGCATCCACCCATGAAACCATCACTGTAATCAAGATCATGAATATATCCACTGCCCCCCACGGTTTCTCTATGCCCCCCTATGATCCCTCTCGCCTGCCTCTCCCTATTCCCCATCCCCAGGCAACAGCTGATCTGCTTCCTGTCACTGTAGACTAGCTTGCATTTTCTAGAATTTAATATAAATGGAAACACGCAGTATGCACTCTCTGGCTTCTTTTACTCGGCGTGATTATTTTCAGATTTATTCGTCTTGCGTATTTGTTCCCTTTACTGATGAGTTGTACCCCACTGTGCAGATATACCACAATTTGTTTAACCACTCATCCGTTTGTGGATATTTGGGTTGTTTCCAGTTTTTGGTTCTTACGGATGAATCTGCCATGAACGTTTGTGTGCCTGTATTTCCATCTTTCCCAGGGAGGCATCCGGGAGAGGAATGCTTAGGTCATCTGGTAGGTTTCTGTTCAACTTTGTTAAAAAAACACATTTTCCAAAGTGGTTGTACCAGTTTCCACTCCGATCAGACACAGCTCTACCTCCTTGCCGACATCTGGTGTCATCTATCCCAGCTTGTGTGCGTGTGCGTGTGTGTGTGTGTGTGTGTGTGTGTTTTAATTAAAATTTCATTTTTATGGGGCGCCTGAGTGGCTCAGTGGGTTAAAGCCTCTGCCTTCTGCTCAGGTCATGATCTCAGGGTCCTGGGATTGAGCCCTGTATCGGGCTTTCTGCTCATGGGGGAGCCTGCTCCCCTACCCCACCCGCCTGCCTCTCTGCCTACTTGTGATCTCTGTCTGTCAAATAAATAAATAAAATCTTTTAAAAATTTTCATCTTTATGTACCTTAAGACACCATAAGGAATGTGGCTGTGTACATTTAAAAAAGTATTTTATTTATTTATTTGAGAGAGAGGGAGAGCTAGAGAGCATAAGTGGGGAGCAGGCAGAGGGAGAAGCAGACTTCTCATTGAGCAGGAAGCGCAACTCTGGGCTCGATCCCAGGACTCCGGGATCATGACCTCAGCTGAAGGCAGACACTTAACCGACTGAGCCACCTAGGCGTCCTGAGTGTGTACATTTGTAACAATTTGTCAAGCTGCACACTTGAGATGTCTGCATTTTACTGGATATAAATCATTTCTCTATAAAATCCTATAGACAACAAAGTAGGGAGAAGAGTCCCTTGAAATTCAGTCATCTTCCCTTTTTTTTTTTTTAAAGATTTTATTTATTTATTTGACAGACAGATCACAAGTAGGCAGAGAAGCAGGCAGAGAGAGGGGGAAGCAGGCTCCCTGCTGAGCAGAGAGTCCGATGTGGGGCTCGATCCCAGGACCCTGAGATCATGACCTGAGCCGAAGGCAGAGGCTCTAATCCACTGAGCCGCCCAGGCGCCCCTCATTTTCTCTTTCTATCCTTCGAAATGATTTTCCTGACCAAGTCAGGAACCTGGCTCCAGTAACAGGACCTTTAAGAAAGCCTGCTAGTTGTTGGTGGCAAGGTGAGGTGTGGGCCTGGTAGATGTGGTTCCAGCTGAGGAAGGCACAGGTGACTCATCTGGTTTCCTGGATCCTGGAAATTTGTGCCCTGGGCTTTTTTGCGAGGCTGTTCTTTGAAGTTCTAGAGATGAAAGCTTTGCATACCGCAGCCACTCCCCGCCCGCTGATGGAAGTGGCAGCCCACTCTGGGCCAAGAAGGGCAGAGGCCACTGCCCTGGGGTCGGGCTGGTGGGCTTGGTGTCTCGGTGGGGTGGGCACCAGAGCAAGATACCCTGCAGATCACCTTGTAGAGGCAAGGCCCAGACCCCGTTGCCTTCATTGCCCACTGAAAATCTCACGTTGATAGCCCCGTGCACCTGGATCAGGGGCTCCCAACCCGGAGCTGCACTACCTACCACCTAGGGGGGTTTGGAAACGGTGTTTTTGAGGATCACGACATCAGGGGCCCATACAGGGTGAGTGGGCAGGGATAGCATGTGGGACAGCCCTGTGCAATAAAAGACTGTCCTTCCCCAGATACCCACAGTGTGCCCCGGGTTGAGAAACAAGCTTTTTTTTTTTTTTTTTTTTTCAAAGTGGCACCATGCCCAGCGTGGAGCCCAGCGTGGGGCTTGAACTCACAACCCTGAGACTGAAACCTGAGCTGAGATGAAGAGTCAGCCGCTTAACCCACGGAGCCGGCCAGGCGCCCCAGAAACAAGCTGGCTTTGGTTGGTAAGAGTTAATCGGTTGCCTCGGTGGCAGACATTTCTGTTTTTTCAATTCCTTGAATTCATCCTTTTTTTTTTTTTTTTTTTTTTGGTAGTTTCTTTTAAAGTAAACTCTGTGCTCAATGTAGGGCTTGAACTCACGACCCTGAGATCAAGAGTCTCATGTTCTGCTGAACGGAGCCAGCCCAGCGCTCCATCCCTGAATTCATCTCGGGATGTCCATTAAGAAATCTGTCTGCGACGTCAACAGCACGAAAACCCTCCGCAGATCAAAACCCTTCTCTAGCGTAAAGGTTACGCGTAAGCCTGGCCCCGTTTCGAAACTTTCTGGCGCTCCAACGCGTAGTTCTAGAGACGATTAAAGAGCAGGGTTGATTTCAAGAGCCGTGAAATAGTTTTAGTCTTATTTCGTTTTACTTTTCTTTTTTTAGAATTCACTTCGCACCTCGCGTTTGAACTCAACCTGGACTGCTCTGCTGGTCTTGGCGTGCGGCTGTGAGGGACGGAGATGGAAGAGTTCTGGCTGGCGTGACCCGTGCAGAGAAGGGAGTTGCAGTTTTCTGACATTAAATATTAACACTGGGGATTAATAATGAAGGCTGACAGTTCCTTTCTCGGTATTTCTGAGCGTGTCTCTCTCCCCAGCCTGCAAGGCCAGCAGGCCCAGGCCCTTCCCCTGCCCGAGCCATGTGGCCGGAGGCCCCTGCTCTCTGAGGTCAGGAGAGGTAAGGAAAACAACCCTCTTGTCACCCAGAGGGGCAGGAGTGCCTGCCTGGGCCACTGTGCGCGGCTCCAGGCTTGTCCTCATCCTCCCCGGTGACAGGAAAACAGCTGGTGGCGGAGGGGAAAACAGGAGGTGGATGCGGGGCTGGGGGTGGGGAACCGGAGGAGAAGAGAGGCTTGTGGCCAAAAGAGAAGGGGTACCAGGGGTCCCTGTGCGTGGATGTGTCGCCCTGAGGAGGGCTCACGTACAACCCAACACCTCCTCAGCTCGGCCCCCGCTCCCGGAGCCTTACAGTTTTCTTATGAGCTAAACGGTACCCCCTCTTCCGGGCCAGGAGGCCTCAGACTGGCTTTGGGGAGGGGTGGCGACGTCAGTGCCATGCACACCCGGGCCGCACAGACCCTGACCTTGCCGCTCTCGCCTTGCGTGACCCTCTCCAGCTTCCCTGATGCCCCAGGTTCCAGCTGTGCTAGCCGCCAGGCCTACTGAACTCTGGTGACCCGTGGGCCAAGGAACATTGCGGCAGCCTTGAACTTATGCACAGGGAGCTGGACTGGCTGAAGTCTGTGCTGGGAGCTGGACAATTAGACACGCAGCGATCTCTTACATAATAAGAGGTACAAGGAATCCGATGTGAAATAGGCCCCCGTTTGATTTCCCACGCTCCATTGATGGATGATTGCATACGCGCTTTGCTTTAATAAAACAGTCCTCCCCCCAACCCCATGTCCACTTTCTCCTTTCCCTTCCTGCCCTCCCCTTGAGCCGTGACAGCAGAGAGTGGAGGAGAGAAAGAGAAGGTCGGGAGCAGAGAACTCAGTAGGTGTCAGGACTTGGCGTTTATCCGCAGGGAGCGGAAGCGCTGCCCTCCTCTGCGGACGTTTTCAGGAGACCCAGGCCCCTTCGAGCAGGGGCGGGAGTTTGAGGTCAGTGGCCTGGCTTGGTGCTTGTACTCCCCTCTGAGGGAAAAGGAATTTAATCTGAGGAAGAAGCTCAGAGGCTCTGAGGAAGACAGCCATTGTCTCTGAGGAAAAAGGTCGTGTCCAGAAAACGTCCAGGGATGCCAAGGGTTGGTGGCCCTGTGGTGTGGGGAGCCAAGGGCTGGACCAGGATCCTCTTCTGGCCTCTCAGTGGCCCCGTCACCACTGCCGGCCTGGCTTTGCCCTGAGACAGGGCAAGGCGGCTGGAATGGAAGAGGAGGGGGGCCGGAAGCCTCCGTCAATGGTGCTAATTAATTGGGCTTGTGGTCGCCTCGCACCTCTCATTTGAGGCTGTACAGGTGTTCCACAGACATTAATTAATTAGGCCCGCCGTACTTCCTATGGGGTTTGGACAGATGTCTGATTCCAGAGGCCCCGTCTTCCCGGTATCAGGGCAGAGCGCGAGGGGTTTGGTTGGACAGTGAGGAGAGCACATGCCACCTGACCTGTGGCCGCCAGAAAAGCCTGGGCAGATGGGGGATTCACTCCTAGGGGTGATCGTGGGAGTTCGGTGGAATTACACGGGCGAGGTGTTCCCAAGCCCCCGTGCCATTTTGTGAGTCCTCCTCCGTGGAGCACCACAGCGAGGCCCCATCCGGTGACCGCCTGCTGGCTTTGGCATCAGAGTGGAGACCACAGCCTTCCCGGTCATTGATTCACCAGTGTGGTGCCAACATGGAGGGCTGAGTCCTTCCTTGGGTAGAAAGCCACGCAGGGAAAGGAAAAGGTTATTTTCACGGGCAAAAAAGTTAATGAGTAATGGTTTCTGGAATTTCTCCTCAGAGAATATAACCTCGTCAGCTCTAGGCTTCTGGCTTCTGAATAATTGTTCTCAGTAATAATACAGAACACCTTCATAATAATACATCCTTCTATGTGTTCAAGAAAGTAGCAATTTATTCCAGGCAAGACTAAAAAAAAAAAAAAAAAGGTTGCCTTTATCCATCTTGAGACCTGCCCTCCCCAGAGATCAAGCAGTGAGGAGGCTGGCTTTTTGGAGGTCTTTAATGAGCGCCTATGGCGTGCTCTGTAGTGGGGCGAGGGGCCATGAGGGAGACAGAAAAAAAGAAGCCATAAGAGCTAAGAATATTTCTGGGAATATCAGCTCTAACTATGTGCTGAATTTGTTTTCCTTAAGTGCATTTTGGGAAAGACACGCGGATTGACTTTGGGCATCCACTTCGCCCTGCGTTATAAAGCGACACAGTACATCGCGCAGACTCCCTTACGATGAGGGTTAGCCGATTGGATGCTCTTGTGTAAAATTTGACTTCGGATCTCAGTTAAAGAGGGAGAGAAGCACACCTTTTGCTTATGTGGATCATGGCTGAGGCCACATGGTTCTCAAGCTGGTCCTGGTGGCTTTCGGGGACTCTTCTGGAAGCTCGTCATTGTGTGGGTCTCTTCAGGCCTCCAAATAACCCTGTAAGCCTCTTAACACCCTATAAGGAATCCCTTTCTGTATATATATATGTATATATTTTTTAAAGATTTTATTTATTTATTTGACAGACAGATTACACGTAGACAGGCAGGCAGAGAGAGGAAGGGAAGCAGGATCCCTGCTGAGCAGAGAGCCCAATGCGGCTCGATCCCAGGACCCTGGGATCATGACCCGAGCCGAAGGCAGAGGCTTTAACCCACTGAGCCACCCAGGCACCCCAGGAATCCCTTTCTGTTAAACTACCTGGAGTGGATTTTAGTCTCGGCACTGACCCCTGACCAGCACAGCTCCGCTCAGACACGCTTGCACTCCTGCTGCCTCTAGGCCCTTGCCCACGCCTTTACCCCACCCTGTCCCCCTGAGGTCATCTTCCTTATGTAGGTAACTCCTACTCATTCCTCAAGACTCAGTTCACATGTCACCTCCTCCAGGAAGATTTCCCTGATATGTATGTCACCTCCCTATCCCTCATACCCAATACCACCCAACACTTCCCTTCACGGCTTTTCTCCCATCGGGTCATCAGCATCTCTTTCTGAGCCTTCCACCTCCACTAGACCAGGTACTGCTTAAAGATAAGGACTGTGTCTTTTCTTGGTGATCCTGGTGCTAGGCTTGGCTTTCACCAAGAAAACACAGTCCTATGTTTTTTTTGCACATAGTAGGTCCTCAATAAAACTTCATTGATTCAGAAAAGAACATACAGCAAATACTCACATGTGTGGTTCAGACCTCAATTCAGTAGAGGGAGAGGCCACTGTTGCCTAAAGCAAGTGGCATCTTCCCGGAGAGAAGAAATTGTGACCAGAATCCAGGACAGCCCCCTTTCTGGGTCTGGTTCCCTCATGTATAAAATGAGGGGCAGGCCTTCATTCGTGTTTCCTGCTGTATATCTCTCAGAACGTTGCTTCCTTAAGGTGTTTCTTTGGACAAGGCATTCCATGAGCAAATGAATTTGGGAGTGTTGGATTCAGCAAAATTCAACAGGTTTCTCCACTATATAGAACGTCCCAGGGCCTTTACTGTACTAAAGTGCCTTGTGACTTGTCTCTGGAGAGTTCCAGTATGCAATGTTGTATCAGTTGTCTTTTGCTTCGACAACACTACGAAAGCTCAACGCCGTACCACATTCCATATTTATGGCTCACGGGTCTAGAATCAGCTGGGGATTGGCTGGGCACACTCCCGTGTCTGGGGGTGGCTGGCTGGAGGGCCACCTAAGCTGGTCCTGTGTGGGATGGCCCCGGCCGGTCTGCTCTGTCCCGCCTGTATCTCCTCGTCCCGCGTGCTACCTGAACACGTTCTCGTGATGGCTGAAGAGAACTAGGCCTCAACATGGCAGCTCGCTGTAAGCCTCCTTCCCTCAGGCCTGCTAGCATGATACTGGCCAACAGGCCCAGGGCTGGACAGGTGTCCCCGCCTGCAGTGGGAGGACACTACAGAGCTTCCTGGCAAAGGGCATGGATTCCCGGAGGGGCAAAGAATTGGGATCACCATGGTACCCTACTGCACTGCGTTTCCCAGAGTCACCTGACCGAGGAACTCCTCTGTACATCTGACTGGCTCTCCTAACATACACTTTGAGAAACCCTTGACTGGCAATGCTTGAAATCTTTCGCGGTTCTTATACCTGGATTCTACGCTCTGAGTGGCTTCAGGAGGGAGCTGGTGACAAATCTGGATCATGCTGGTCGGGCAGGATTTGGCCAGAGGCGTGGCTGGAGGCGGGTGTCCACACGCGTCCCACTCCATCCCTGAAACAACTTCTTCGGGAAGTTTCCCTGCGGGCTGTTCCCATGATGTTCCTCTTCTTCACCTCCGGTCACCACCAGACTTTTTGCCCACCCACTGTTGGGGGGTGAGCGGAACGCTCCTGGAAGCATCACTTCCTGAGAGGCGGAGTTCTAGGAACTGCATGGCAGGCCGGGAAATTGATTTTTCCTGTGTTCTGTGACTCCAGGAAGGCATTTCCCGGAGCCTTGAGTTCGGGACGGCCTTCCTCGTCACAGCTGTGGTGGCTTCAGCTAGCTCTTCCCGTGGCTCTGGGCTGGGGGCCAGCTTCCTGCCACCAAAGATTCATCCTGGGCTTTCGGGTTGGGGTTACCCCGTTTCGGACATGTCTGGATGTTGGCACTGCCCACCTACCTCCCCTGGTTGGGGGGCAGAGCTGAGCATCACAACCCCCCGCCTTCACCCTGACCTCACGCCATCCAGGTAGAAATGTTAAGTGGAAGCCCCCGTGACAACACCACGACCCACCCACTGAGGTGGCCCCGAACATTCACCCAGTGGCTCTGGATTTGGCAAACTTGAATTCATCCAGCAGCCCCGCTTGCCTTCCACTAGGCGCGGTGGCAGTGCTTCCTGTTTATGATTCCCTGTGTTGTGTCCCCAGAACTCAGAGAGGTGGAGTTTCTGACCAGACACCAGGGACGGCTTCGGTTTGATCGGTTTTGTCAAAGCCCACCCGACCCCCTTGCGAATGCCCTGTGGCTTTGGCAGGGGGTGGGTGGTGGCGGTGGCGGTGGTGGGTGGGCTCCGGGCAGGGGAGGAGGACAGCTCCACAGCTTGGGTTCCCTTTGGGGGACATAAATTTGGCCTTGTTAAGGAAACCTGCAGGGACACAGGGATGAAGGTGATCAGGTTACAAAAGCACACCAGGCCTCTGTGGCTTCGCAGGAGGCCTGGGGCACACAAAAGGCCCTGGGGCCTGGGGCAGGTGGGGGTGCAGGTGGGGGTGGCCCCTCCGAATGGCTCCCCCCCCAGGCCAGCCAACCGCCTCCAGTCAGACCCCCACAGAACCTTCCTGCCCCAGAGGCTGTCCTTCACGTTCAGCAGCTTAGAGGGTGAGAGGGGGGCGAGGTCCCACCAGAAACACCTTTCCCCCTTCTGGGTGGAGAGTACCTGGGAATGTGGTGGGGTGATCTTATCAGAAACCATTGCTGCGCAATGTGTGCGGAAAAACAATTCTGAAAGGGAACATGGGGCTTTGCTACCCATGGCAAATCCTCGGCTTGCAGTTAGAGGTCATTTATATTTCTTTTTCTGTGCTTTTCTGGTAGTTTCCAAATT